CCCGGACCAAGGCGCGCGCGCCCGAAACAAGGCGCGCGGCGCCCGGACCAAGGCGCGCGCCCCCAGACCAAGGCGCGCGCCGCGGACCAAGGCGCGCGCCCGGACCAAGGCGAGCGCGCTCCGGACCAAGGCGCCGCGCGCCCGAAACCAAGGCGGCGCGCGCCCGGACCAAGGCGCGCGCGCAGACCAAGGCGCGCGCGCCCGGACCAAGGCGCGCGGCGCAAACCAAGGCGCGCGCGCATACCAAGGCGCGCGCCCCCCGGACCAGGCGCCGGCCCCGGACAAGGCGCGCGCCCCCCGGACCAAGGCGCTGCGCGCAGCCGGACCAAGGCGGCCGCTGTGCGGACCAAGGCGGCGCGCGCGGACCAAGGCGCGCGCCCGGACCAAGGCGCGCGCCCCCGGACCAAGGCGCGCGCCGTGCGGACCAAGGCGCGCGCGTGCGGATCAAGGCGCGCGCGCGGACCAAGGCGCGCGCCCGGACCAAGGCGCGCGCGCCCGAACCAAGGCGCGCGCCGTGCGGACCAAGGCGCGCGCGCGGACCAAGGCGCGGCGCCCCCGGACCAAGGCGGCGCCCCCCGGACCAAGGCGCGCGCCCCCGGACCAAGGCTGCGCTGCGCCCGGGACCAAGGCGCGCGCGCCCGGACCCAAGGCGCCTGCGCTGTGCGGACCAAGGCGCGCGCGCGGAACCAAGGCGCGCGCGCGGACCAAGGCGCGCGCCCGGACCAAGGCCGCAGCGCGCCGGACCAAGGCGCGCGCGCCGGGACCAAGGCGCGCGCGCCGGACCAAGGCGAGCGCGCCCGGACCAAGGCGGCGCGCGCCCGGACCAAGGCGCGCGCGTGCGGACCAAGGCGCGCGCGCGGACCAAGGCGCGTGCCCGGACCAAGGCGCGCGCACACGGACCAAGGCGCGCGCCCGGACCAAGGCGCGCGCCCCCGGACCAAGGCGCGCGCGCCCGGACCAAGGCCGCGCGCGGCCCGGACCAAGGCGCGCGGGCGGACCAAGGCGCGCGCCCGGACCAAGGCGCGCCGCGCCCGGACCAAGGCGCGTGCCCCCAGACCAAGGCGCGCGCGTGCGGACCAAGGCGCGCGCGCAGACCAAGGCGCGCGACCGGACCAAGGCGCGCGGCCCCCGGACCAAGGCGCGCGCCCCCGGACCAAGGCGCGCGCGCGGACCAAGGCGCGCGCCCGTACCAAGGCGCGCGCGCCCGGACCAAGGCGCGCGCGCCCGGACCAAGGCGCGCGCCGCGCGGATCAAGGCGCGCGCGCCCGGACCAAGGCGCGCGCGGCGGACAAAGGCGCGCGCGCGCCCGGACCAAGGCGCGCGCGCCCGGACCAAGGAGCGCGCGCGCGGACCAAGGCGCGCGGGCGGACCAAGGCGCGCGCCCGGACCAAGGCGCGCGCGCCCGGACCAAGGCGCGCGCGCGGACCAAGGCGCGCGCCCGGACCAAGGCGAGCGCGCCCGGACCAAGGCGCGCGCGCCCGGAACCAAGGCGCGCGCGCCGGGACCAAGGCGCGCGCGCCCGGACCAAGGCGAGCGCGCCCGGACCAAGGCGCGCGCGCCCGGACCAAGGCGCGCGCGCGTGCGGAACAAGGCGCGCGCGCGGACCAAGGCGCGTGCCCGGACCAAGGCGCGCGCACCCGGACCAAGGCGCGCGCCCGGACCAAGGCGCGCGCCCCCGGACCAAGGCGCGCGCGCCCGGACCAAGGCGCGCGCGCCCGGACCAAGGCGCGCGGGCGGACCAACGCGCGCGCCCGGACCAAGGCGCGCGCGCCCGGACCAAGGCGCGTGCCCCCAGACCAAGGCGCGCGCGTAGCGGACCAAGGCGCGCGCGCAGACCAAGGCGCGCGACCGGACCAAGGCGCGCGCCCCCGGACCAAGGCGCGCGCCCCCGGACCAAGGCGGCGCGCGCGGACAAGGCGCGCGCCCGTACCAAGGCGCGCGCGCCCGGACCAAGGCGCGGCGCGCCCGGACCAAGGCGCGCGGCGCGGATCAAGGCGCGCGCGCCCGGACCAAGGCGCGCGCGCGGACAAAGGCGCGCGCGCCCGGGACCAAGGCGCGCGCGCCCGGACCAAGGAGCGCGCGCGCGGACCAAGGCGCGCGGGCGGTACCAAGGCGCGCGCCCGGACCAAGGCGCGCGCGCCCGGACCAAGGCGCGCGCGCGGACCAAGGCGCGCGCCCGGACCCAAGGCGAGCGCGCCCGGACCAAGGCGCGCGCGCCCGGACCAAGGCGCGCGCGCCCGAACCAAGGCGCGCGCGCAGACCAAGGCACGCGCGCAAACCAAGGGGCGCTTGCGGACCAAGGCGCGCGCCCCCGGACCAAGGCGCGCGCCCCCGGACCAAGGCGCGCGCCCCCGGACCAAGGCGCGCGCGCCCGGACCAAGGCGCGCGCGCCCGGACCAAGGCGCGCGCGCCCGGACCAAGGCGCGCCCGCCCGGACCAAGGCGAGCGCGCCCGGACCAAGGCGCGCGCATGCGGACCAAGGCGCGCGCACGGACCAAGGCGCGCGCCCGGACCAAGGCGCGCGCCCGGACCAAGGCGCGCGCCCCCCGACCAAGCCTCGCGCGTGCGGACCAAGGCGCGCGCGCGGACCAAGGCGCGCGCGCGGACCAAGGCGCGCGCGCGGACCAAGGCGCGCGCCCGGACCAAGGCGCGCGCGCCCGGACCAAGGCGCGCGTGTGCGGACTAAGGCGCGCGCGCGGACCAAGGCGCGCGCCCCCGGACCAAGGCGCGCGCCCCCGGACCAAGGCGCGCGCCCCCGGACCAAGGCGCGCGCGCCCGGACCAAGGCGAGCGCGCGCGTGCGGACCAAGGCGCGCGCCAGGACCAAGGCGCGCGCCCGGACCAAGGCGCGCGCGCCCGGACCAAGGCGCGCGCGCCCGGACCAAGGCGCGCGCGCGCCCGGACCAAGGCGCGCGCGCCCGGACCAAGGCGCGCGCGCCCGGACCAAGGCGCGCGCCCGGACCAAGGCGCGCGCCCGGACCAAGGCGCGCCCCCCCGGACCAAGGCGCGCGCGCCCGGACCAAGGCGCGCGCGCGCCCGGACCAAGGCGCGCGCGCCCGGACCAAGGCGCGCGCGCCCGGACCAAGGCGCGCGGGCGGACCAAGGCGCGCGCCCGGACCAAGGCGCGCGCGCCCGGACCAAGGCGCGCGCGCGGACCAAGGCGCGCGCCCGGACCAAGGCGCGCGCCCCCGGACCAAGGCGCGCGCCCCCGGACCAAGGCTCGCGCGTGCGGACCAAGGCGCGCGCGCGGACCAAGGCGCGCGCCCGGCCCAAGGCGCGCGCGCCCGGACCAAGGCGCGCGCGTGCGGACCAAGGCGCGCGCGCGGACCAAGGCGCGCGCGCCCGGACCAAGGCGCGCCCGGACCAAGGCGCGCGCGTCCGGACCAAGGCGCGCGCGCCCGGACCAAGGCGCGCGCGCGCGGACCAAGGCGCGCGCGCCCGGACCAAGGCGCGCGCGCGCGGACCAAGGCGCGCGCGTGCGGACCAAGGCGCGCGCGTGCGGACCAAGGCGCGCGCACCCGGACCCAGGCACGCGCGCCCGGACCAAGGCGCGCGCGCCCGGACCAAGGCGCGCGCGCCCTGACCAAGGCGCGCGCGCGCCCGGACCAAGGCGCGCGCGCCCGGACCAAGGCGCGCGCGCCCGGACCAAGGCGCGCGCGCCCGGACCAAGGCGCGCGCGCCCGGACCAAGGCGCGCGCGCGGACCAAGGCGCGCGCCCCCGGACCAAGGCGCGCGCGCCCGGACCAAGGCGCGCGCCCCCGGACCAAGGCGCGCGCCCCCGGACCAAGGCGCGCGCGCCCGGACCAAGGCGCGCGCGCCCGGACCAAGGCGCGCGCGCCCGGACCAAGGCGCGCGCTCGGACCAAGGCGCGCGCCCGGACCAAGGTGCGCGCCCCCGGACCAAGGCCCGCGCGCCCGGACCAAGGCGCGCGCCCGGACCAAGGTGCGCGCCCCCGGACCAAGGCGCGCGCGCCCGGACCAAGGCCCGCGCGCCCGGACCAAGGCGCGTGCGCCCGGACCAAGGCGCGCGCTCGGACCAAGGCGCGCGCGCGGACCAAGGCGCGGCGCGCGCGCGGACCAAGGCGCGCGCCCCCGGACCAATGCGCGCGCGCCCGGACCAAGGCGCGCACCCCCGGACCAAGGCGCGCGCGCCCGGTCCAAGGCGTGCGCGCCCGGACCAAGGCGCGCGCGTGCGGACCAAGGCGCGCGCACCCGGACCCAGGCACGCGTGCCCGGACCAAGGCGCGCGCGCCCGGACCAAGGCGCGCGCGCGGACCAAGGCGCGCGCGCCCGGACCAAGGCGCGCGCGCGGACCAAGGCTCGCGCGCCCAGACCAAGGCGCGCGCGCCCGGACCAAGGCGCGCGCGCGGACCAAGGCGCGCGCCCCCGGACCAATGCGCGCGCGCCCGGACCAAGGCGCGCACCCCCGGACCAAGGCGCGCGCGCCCGGACCAAGGCGTGCGCGCCCGGACCAAGGCGCGCGCGTGCGGACCAAGGCGCGCGCACCCGGACCCAGGCACGCGCGCCCGGACCAAGGCGCGCGCGCCCGGACCAAGGCGCGCGCGCGGACCAAGGCGCGCGCGCCCGGACCAAGGCGCGCGCGCGGACCAAGGCTCGCGCGCCCAGACCAAGGCGCGCGCGCCCGGTCCAAGGCGCGCGCGCCCGGACCAAGGCGCGCCAGCCCGGACCAAGGCGCGCGCGCCCGGACCAAGGCGCGCGCGCCCGGACCAAGGCGCGCGCGCCCGGACCAAGGCGCGCGCGCCCGGACCAAGGCGCGCGCGCCCGGACCAAGGCGCGCGCTCGGACCAAGGCGCGCGCCCGGACCAAGGTGCGCGCCCCCGGACCAAGGCGCGCGCGCCCGGACCAAGGCGCGCGCGCCCGGACCAAGGCGCGCGCGCCCGGACCAAGGCGCGCGCGCCCGGACCAAGGCGCGCGCGCCCGGACCAAGGCGCGCGCTCGGACCAAGGCGCGCGCGCAGACCAAGGCGCGCGCCCCCGGACCAATGCGCGCGCGCCCGGACCAAGGCGCGCACCCCCGGACCAAGGCGCGCGCCCCCGGACCAAGGCGCGCGCGCCCGGACCAAGGCGTGCGCGCCCGGACCAAGGCGCGCGCGTGCGGACCAAGGCGCGCGCACCCGGACCCAGGCACCGCGCGCCCGGACCAAGGCGCGCGCGCCCGGACCAAGGCGCGCGCGCCTGGACCAAGGCGCGCGCGCCCTGACCAAGGCGCGCGCGCCCGGACCAAGGCGCGCGCGCCCGGACCAAGGCGCGCGCGCGGACCAAGGCTCGCGCGCCCAGACCAAGGCGCGCGCGCCCGGACCAAGGCGCGCGCGCCCGGACCAAGGCGCGCGCGCTCGGACCAAGGCGCGCGCGTGCGGACCAAGGCGCGCTGTGCGGACCAAGGCGCGCGCGCCCGGACCAAGGCGCGCGTGCCCGGACCAAGGCGCGCGCGCCCGGACCAAGGCGCACGCGCCCGGACCAAGGCGCGCGCGCCCGGACCAAGGCGCGCGCGTGCGGACCAAGGCGCGCGCGCGGACCAAGGTGCGCGCCCCCGGACCAAGGCGCGCGCGCCCGGACCAAGGCGCGCGCCCCCGGACCAAGGCGCGCGCCCCCCGGACCAGGGCGCGCGCGCCCGGACCAAGGCGCGCGCGCGCGGACCAAGGCGCGCGCGTGCGGACCAAGGCCGCGCGCGCGGACCAAGGCGCGCGCCCGGACCAAGGCACGCGCGCCTGGACCAAGGCGCGCGCCCCCGGACCAAGGCGCGCGCGTGCGGACCAAGGCGCGCGCGCGGACCAAGGCGCGCGCGCCCGGACCAAGGCGCGCGCCCCCGGACCAAGGCGCGCGCGCGGGACCAAGGCGCGCGCCCGGACCAAGGCGCGCGCGCCCGGACCAAGGCGCGCGCGCCCGGACCAAGGCGCGCGCGCCCGGACCAAGGCGCGCGGCGCGCGGACCAAGGCGCGCGCGCTCGGACCAAGGCGCGCGCGTGCGGACCAAGGCGCGCTGTGCGGACCAAGGCGCGCGCGCCCGGACCAAGGCGCGCGCGCCCGGACCAAGGCGCACGCGCCCGGACCAAGGCGCGCGCGCCCGGACCAAGGCACGCGCGCCCGGACCAAGGCGCGCGCCCCCGGACCAAGGCGCGCGCGCGCGCGTGCCCGGACCAAGGCGCGTGCATGCGGACCAAGGCGCGCGCGCGGACCAAGGCGCGCGCGCGGACCAAGGCGCGCGCCGGACCAAGGCGCGCGCCCCCGGACCAAGGCGCGCGCCCCTGGACCAAGGCTCGCGCGTGCGGACCAAGGCGCGCGCGCGGACCAAGGCGCGCGCGCGGACCAAGGCGCGCGCCCGGCCCAAGGCGCGCGCGCCCAGACCAAGGCGCGCGCGTGCGGACCAAGGCGCGCGCGCCGGGACCAAGGCGCGCGCGCCCAGATCAAGGCGCGCGCGCCCGGACCAAGGCGCGCGCGCCCGGACCAAGGCGCGCGCGTGCGAACCAAGGCGCGCGCGCGGACCAAGGTGCGCGCCCCCGGACCAAGGCGCGCTCGTGCGGACCAAGGCGCGCGCGTGCGGACCAAGGCGCGCGCGCGGACCAAGGCGCGCGCCCGGACCAAGGCGCGCGCGCCCGGACCAAGGCGCGCGCGCCCGGACCAAGGCGCGCGCGCCCGGACCAAGGCGCGTGCGCCCGGACCAAGGCGCGCGCGCCCGGACCAAGGCGCGTGCGCCCGGACCAAGGCGCGCGCTCGGACCAAGGCGCGCGCGCGGACCAAGGCGCGGCGCGCGCGCGGACCAAGGCGCGCGCCCCCGGACCAAGGCGCGCGCCCCCGGACCAATGCGCGCGCGCCCGGACCAAGGCGTGCGCGCCCGGACCAAGGCGCGCGCACCCGGACCCAGGCACGCGCGCCCGGACCAAGGCGCGCGCGCCCGGACCAAGGCGCGCGCCCCTGGACCAAGGCTCGCGCGTGCGGACCAAGGCGCGCGCGCGGACCAAGGCGCGCGCGCGGACCAAGGCGCGCGCCCGGCCCAAGGCGCGCGCGCCCGGACCAAGGCGCGCGCGCCCGGACCAAGGCGCGCGCGCCCGGACCAAGGCGCGCGCGCGGACCAAGGCGCGCGCCCCCGGACCAAGGCGCGCGCGCGCCCGGACCAAGGCGCGCGCCCCCGGACCAAGGCGCGCGCCCCCGGACCAAGGCGCGCGCGCCCGGACCAAGGCGCGCGCGCCCGGACCAAGGCGCGCGCGCCCGGACCAAGGCGCGCGCTCGGACCAAGGCGCGCGCCCGGACCAAGGTGCGCGCCCCCGGACCAAGGCCCGCGCGCCCGGACCAAGGCGCGCGCCCGGACCAAGGTGCGCGCCCCCGGACCAAGGCGCGCGCGCCCGGACCAAGGCCCGCGCGCCCGGACCAAGGCGCGTGCGCCCGGACCAAGGCGCGCGCTCGGACCAAGGCGCGCGCGCGGACCAAGGCGCGGCGCGCGCGCGGACCAAGGCGCGCGCCCCCGGACCAATGCGCGCGCGCCCGGACCAAGGCGCGCACCCCCGGACCAAGGCGCGCGCGCCCGGTCCAAGGCGTGCGCGCCCGGACCAAGGCGCGCGCGTGCGGACCAAGGCGCGCGCACCCGGACCCAGGCACGCGTGCCCGGACCAAGGCGCGCGCGCCCGGACCAAGGCGCGCGCGCGGACCAAGGCGCGCGCGCCCGGACCAAGGCGCGCGCGCGGACCAAGGCTCGCGCGCCCAGACCAAGGCGCGCGCGCCCGGACCAAGGCGCGCGCGCGGACCAAGGCGCGCGCGCGGACCAAGGCGCGCGCCCCCGGACCAATGCGCGCGCGCCCGGACCAAGGCGCGCACCCCCGGACCAAGGCGCGCGCGCCCGGACCAAGGCGTGCGCGCCCGGACCAAGGCGCGCGCGTGCGGACCAAGGCGCGCGCACCCGGACCCAGGCACGCGCGCCCGGACCAAGGCGCGCGCGCCCGGACCAAGGCGCGCGCGCGGACCAAGGCGCGCGCGCGGACCAAGGCTCGCGCGCCCAGACCAAGGCGCGCGCGCCCGGTCCAAGGCGCGCGCGCCCGGACCAAGGCGCGCCAGCCCGGACCAAGGCGCGCGCGCCCGGACCAAGGCGCGCGCGCCCGGACCAAGGCGGCGCGCGCCCGGACCAAGGCGCGCGCGCCCGGACCAAGGCGCGCGCGCCCGGACCAAGGCGCGCGCGCCCGGACCAAGGCGCGCGCTCGGACCAAGGCGCGCGCCCGGACCAAGGTGCGCGCCCCCGGACCAAGGCGCGCGCGCCCGGACCAAGGCGCGCGCGCCCGGACCAAGGCGCGCGCGCCCGGACCAAGGCGCGCGCGCCCGGACCAAGGCGCGCGCGCCCGGACCAAGGCGCGCGCTCGGACCAAGGCGCGCGCGCGGACCAAGGCGCGCGCCCCCGGACCAATGCGCGCGCGCCCGGACCAAGGCGCGCACCCCCGGACCAAGGCGCGCGCCCCCGGACCAAGGCGCGCGCGCCCGGACCAAGGCGTGCGCGCCCGGACCAAGGCGCGCGCGTGCGGACCAAGGCGCGCGCACCCGGACCCAGGCACGCGCGCCCGGACCAAGGCGCGCGCGCCCGGACCAAGGCGCGCGCGCCTGGACCAAGGCGCGCGCGCCCTGACCAAGGCGCGCGCGCCCGGACCAAGGCGCGCGCGCCCGGACCAAGGCGCGCGCGCGGACCAAGGCTCGCGCGCCCAGACCAAGGCGCGCGCCCGGACCAAGGCGCGCGCGCCCGGACCAAGGCGCGCGCGCTCGGACCAAGGCGCGCGCGTGCGGACCAAGGCGCGCTGTGCGGACCAAGGCGCGCGCGCCCGGACCAAGGCGCGCGTGCCCGGACCAAGGCGCGCGCGCCCGGACCAAGGCGCACGCGCCCGGACCAAGGCGCGCGCGCCCGGACCAAGGCGCGCGCGTGCGGACCAAGGCGCGCGCGCGGACCAAGGTGCGCGCCCCCGGACCAAGGCGCGCGCGCCCGGACCAAGGCGCGCGCCCCCGGACCAAGGCGCGCGCCCCCGGACCAGGGCGCGCGCGCCCGGACCAAGGCGCGCGCGCGCGGACCAAGGCGCGCGCGTGCGGACCAAGGCGCGCGCGCGGACCAAGGCGCGCGCCCGGACCAAGGCACGCGCGCCTGGACCAAGGCGCGCGCCCCCGGACCAAGGCGCGCGCGTGCGGACCAAGGCGCGCGCGCGGACCAAGGCGCGCGCGCCCGGACCAAGGCGCGCGCCCCCGGACCAAGGCGCGCGCGCGGACCAAGGCGCGCGCCCGGACCAAGGCGCGCGCGCCCGGACCAAGGCGCGCGCGCCCGGACCAAGGCGCGCGCGCCCGGACCAAGGCGCGCGCGCGCGGACCAAGGCGCGCGCGCTCGGACCAAGGCGCGCGCGTGCGGACCAAGGCGCGCTGTGCGGACCAAGGCGCGCGCGCCCGGACCAAGGCGCGCGCGCCCGGACCAAGGCGCACGCGCCCGGACCAAGGCGCGCGCGCCCGGACCAAGGCACGCGCGCGCCCGGACCAAGGCGCGCGCCCCCGGACCAAGGCGCGCGCGCGCGCGCGCGCCCGGACCAAGGCGCGTGCATGCGGACCAAGGCGCGCGCGCGGACCAAGGCGCGCGCGCGGACCAAGGCGCGCGCCCGGACCAAGGCGCGCGCCCCCGGACCAAGGCGCGCGCCCCTGGACCAAGGCTCGCGCGTGCGGACCAAGGCGCGCGCGCGGACCAAGGCGCGCGCGCGGACCAAGGCGCGCGCCCGGCCCAAGGCGCGCGCGCCCAGACCAAGGCGCGCGCGTGCGGACCAAGGCGCGCGCGCCGGGACCAAGGCGCGCGCGCCCAGATCAAGGCGCGCGCGCCCGGACCAAGGCGCGCGCGCCCGGACCAAGGCGCGCGCGTGCGAACCAAGGCGCGCGCGCGGACCAAGGTGCGCGCCCCCGGACCAAGGCGCGCTCGTGCGGACCAAGGCGCGCGCGTGCGGACCAAGGCGCGCGCGCGGACCAAGGCGCGCGCCCGGACCAAGGCGCGCGCGCCCGGACCAAGGCGCGCGCGCCCGGACCAAGGCGCGCGCGCCCGGACCAAGGCGCGTGCGCCCGGACCAAGGCGCGCGCGCCCGGACCAAGGCGCGTGCGCCCGGACCAAGGCGCGCGCTCGGACCAAGGCGCGCGCGCGGACCAAGGCGCGGCGCGCGCGCGGACCAAGGCGCGCGCCCCCGGACCAAGGCGCGCGCCCCCGGACCAATGCGCGCGCGCCCGGACCAAGGCGTGCGCGCCCGGACCAAGGCGCGCGCACCCGGACCCAGGCACGCGCGCCCGGACCAAGGCGCGCGCGCCCGGACCAAGGCGCGCGCCCCTGGACCAAGGCTCGCGCGTGCGGACCAAGGCGCGCGCGCGGACCAAGGCGCGCGCGCGGACCAAGGCGCGCGCCCGGCCCAAGGCGCGCGCGCCCGGACCAAGGCGCGCGCGTGCGGACCAAGGCGCGCGCGCCGGGACCAAGGCGCGCGCGCCCGGATCAAGGCGCGCGCGCCCGGACCAAGGCGCGCGCGCCCGGACCAAGGCGCGCGCGTGCGGACCAAGGCGCGCGCGCGGACCAAGGTGCGCGCCCCCGGACCAAGGCGCGCTCGTGCGGACCAAGGCGCGCGCGTGCGGACCAAGGCGCGCGCGCGGACCAAGGCGCGCGCCCGGACCAAGGCGCGCGCGCCCGGACCAAGGCGCGCGCGCCCGGACCAAGGCGCGCGCGCCCGGACCAAGGCGCGCGCGCCCGGACCAAGGCGCGCGCGCCCGGACCAAGGCGCGTGCGCCCGGACCAAGGCGCGCGCTCGGACCAAGGCGCGCGCGCGGACCAAGGCGCGGCGCGCGCGCGGACCAAGGCGCGCGCCCCCGGACCAAGGCGCGCGCCCCCCGGACCAATGCGCGCGCGCCCGGACCAAGGCGTGCGCGCCCGGACCAAGGCGCGCGCACCCGGACCCAGGCACGCGCGCCCGGACCAAGGCGCGCGCGCCCGGACCAAGGCGCGCGCGCGGACCAAGGCGCGCGCGCCCGGACCAAGGCGCGCGCGCCCGGACCAAGGCGCGCGCGCCCTGACCAAGGCGCGCGCGCCCGGACCAAGGCGCGCGCGCGGACCAAGGCTCGCGCGCCCAGACCAAGGCGCGCGCGCCCGGACCAAGGCGCGCTCGCCCGGACCAAGGCGCGCGCGCCCGGACCAAGGCGCGCGCGCCCGGACCAAGGCGCGCGCGCCCGGACCAAGGCGCGCGCGCCCGGACCAAGGCGCGCGCGCCCGGACCAAGGCGCGCGCTCGGACCAAGGCGCGCGCGCGGACCAAGGCGCGCGCCCCCGGACCAAGGCGCGCGCGCCCGGACCAAGGCGCGCGCCCCCGGACCAAGGCGCGCGCCCCCGGACCAAGGCGCGCGCGCCCGGACCAAGGCGCGCGCGCCCGGACCAAGGCGCGCGCGTGCGGACCAAGGCGCGCGCGCGGACCAAGGCGCGCGCCCGGACCAAGGCGCGCGCGCCTGGACCAAGGAGCGCGCCCCCGGACCAAGGCGTGCGCGTGCGGACCAAGGCGCGCGCGCGGACCAAGGCGCGCGCCCGGACCAAGGCGCGCGCGCCCGGACCAAGGCGCGAGCCCCCGGACCAAGGCGCGCGCGCGGACCAAGGCGCGCGCCCGGACCAAGGCTGCGCGCGCCCGGACCAAGGCGCGCGCGCCCGGACCAAGGCGCGCGCGCCCGGACCAAGGCGCGCGCGCCCGGACCAAGGCGCGCGCGCGCGGACCAAGGCGCGCGCGCCCGGACCAAGGCGCGCGCGTGCGGACCAAGGCGCGCTGTGCGGACCAAGGCGCGCGCGCCCGGACCAAGGCGCGCGCGCCCGGACCAAGGCGCGCGCGCGCGGACCAAGGCGCGATCTTAATGCTGCCCATTTCTCGTCCCCACGTCACTTAATTACTTTGTTGCCTCGTTCCCTTGTCCCCTCGCCCCCCTCCCCACCAGCTGCAAGCAGCTCTCCCCCACCTGCTGGGCCGTCACACCACACCATAGACATTCCCCTCATTCCATCGGTCACTTGTGCCCCACCTCGCCTTGTGCCCCACCTCCCCTTGTGCCCCACCTCCCCTTGTGCCCCACCTCCCCTTGTGCCCCACCTCCCCTTGTGCCCCACCTCCCCTTGCGCCCCCCTGCCCCTCAGATGTATTTAGAGACCCAAATGCTCACACCCCAAGTGCCAACGCGAGAAGCCTTCTTCCTGCGCTACTGCAAGCAGCTCTCCCCCACCTGCTGGGCCGTCACAGACACAGCCATGCCCTTCATTCACTTGTCCAAATCCTCCCTGCGCTCCCCCCTAACTCTCAGATGTACCTGGAAACCCAGATGCTCACACCCCAAGTACCAACAAGAGAAGCCTTTTTCCTGCGCTACTGCAAGCAGCTCTCCCCCACCTGCTGGGCCATGGTGGACGTCTCTGTGGACCGCCTCCGCAGCGAACCGCCCCCCGTCATGCTCAAGTGCCGGCGACGGCCGTCAGGCATCCTTATCCAGGTGGGCTGGGGTTGCGTGCTTAGGTATTATTGTCTCGGGACTGCCTTAGGAATCTGGACCGCACCTGCAAGCAGTTCTCCCCCACCTTCTGGGCCGTGGTGGACGTCTCTGTGGACCGCCTGAGAAGCGAACCGCCCCCTGTCATGCTCAAGTGCCGGCGACGGCCGTCAGGCATCCTCATCCAGGTGGGCTGCGAGGGAGTTTTAGATGTTCTCCAGTACACCCACATGCTGCCCTCGTCTGCCCTTTGGAAGAGCAAGAGCAACTCTTTTTTCACCTCTCTTCTTCTCTCCTTTCCTCTTCTCTCCTCTCTTCTTCCCTCCTCTCTTCTTCTCTCCTCCCTTCTTCTTTTCTCTCCTCTCTTCTTCTCACTTCTTGCCCCATTCGCACCTCTCTTTTGCAAATCTGCAACTCTCTCCTTTATCGTCGCTTCTTCTCCCCCCATCACCATCAACAGGAAACGCCCAACGGCAGCAGTCAGGTGACACTGGTGGAGCACGTGGAGGCAGACCCCTTGGGAGTGCCGCCGCTCTTCAGGTGGGCCTTGGGAGTGCCGCCACTCTTCAGGTGGGCCTTGGGAGTGCCGCCGCTCTTCAGGTGGGCCTTGGGAGTGTTGCAATGCTTGTCTCAGCTGCAGTCATTTCTTCAGGTCAGCCCACCCAAGTATGTTCCCCCAAAGCTAGCCTTCAACCCTCCTTGTTTTGGGCACCTGCCAACTTAATCCTCCCCCTTCCCCTCCGCATTGTCCCCATTTTCCTCCCCCTTGTTCCCCCAGACCAATCGTGGCAGCAGTGCTGGGTTTCGGCACAGCGAGGTGGATGGCAGCGCTGCACCACCAGTGTGTGCGGTTCGGAGAGCTGCTGGGCAACCCCGATTGCCTGCCTGCCCACTCCTCCCTTTCCCTCTTCGTTCCCCTCCCCATTTTCCCCCTTTCCCTTCCACTTCCCCATCCCCCCCAGACCAATCGTGGCAGCAGCATTGGGGTTCGGAGCAGCGAGGTGGATGGCAGCGCTGCACCACCAGTGTGTGCGGTTTGGAGAGCTGCTGGGGAACCCAACCAACTTGCCTGCCTATCAACTCAACCCTTCCCCATCTCTCTCCCTTCAACTCCCCATTTTCCGCTGTTTCTGCCCTCTCCCTGTACCTCCATAGACCAATCGTGGCAGCAGCGCTGGGTTTTGGAGCGGCAAGGTGGATGGCAGCGCTGCACCACCAGTGCGTTCGGTTTGGAGAGCTGCTGGGGAACCCCGCTTGCCTGCCTACCAAGCCAACCCCTCCCCATTTCTCCCACTTCGCCCACCCATTTCCCTCCGTTTCTTCCCTCTCCCCCTACCTACACAGACCAATCGTGGCAGCAGCTCTGGGCTTTGGCGCAGCGAGGTGGATGGCAGCGCTGCAACACCAGTGCGTGCGGTTCGGGGAGCTGCTGGGTAACAACACTTGTCTGCCTGCTTAATTATCTCCTCATCCTCCTGTGCCCTGCCTTTTTTTCCCCATTTGCCTCCTGCAATACCCCCAGACCAATCGTGGCAGCAGCGCTGGGTTTCGGAGCAGCGAGGTGGATGGCAGCGCTGCACCACCAGTGTGTGCGCTTCGGGGAGCTGCTAGGGAACCCCACGTCGAGGGACAGTGGCATCGTGTCGCAGCAGGGCCGCCGCGCCATGCTTCGCCTCGCCGGCCGCATGCTCTCCAACTTCTGTGTCGGGCTCTCCTCCTCCACCAGGTAATGCCTGCACTGCACCACCAGGTACAGCCTACCCCACGTCGAGGAACAGTGGCATCGTGTCGCAACAAGGACGCCGTGCCATGCTGCGCCTGGCTGGCCGCATGCTCTCCAACTTCTGTGTCGGCCTCTCCTCCTCCACCAGGTAATGCCTGCAACACCACCAGGTATAGCCTGTACCAGGTAGAGTAGAATCTGCATCAGGTACACCCAGCACCAGGTAACCTTTGAGTTTACTCGAAGGCTGCCACGCGCCATGCTGCGCGTGGCAGGGCGCATGCTCTCTAACTTCTGTGCTGGCATCTCCTCCTTCACCAGGTAGAGTGTGACCGGGTACATTTCTCACAAGGTACCGCCTGCACCAGATACAGCTTGCACCAGGTAACTTGTGCGTCGGCTCAAGGGCTGCCGCGCCATGCTGTGCCTGGCCGGCCGCATGCTCTCCAACTTGTGTGCTGGGCTCTCCTCCTCCACCAGGTACAGTGTGCCATCCTAGGTGTCATTCTCCATGCGTCTGCTGCTCTGTAACAAGGCACCTCAAACCACTGTTCTCCCCGTGAATGTCACTGATCCTGTGCTGTCATCCCTGGTCATCTTACCTTACCTTCCTCCACTCCACATCATCTTGTTCTCATGTCCACCCCTCACATCACCTGCATCACCCTCAGGCATTCCTGGAAGGTGATTGACAACCCTGACAGGGCCTCTTCTGCCAGTACCGCTGCAAGGGGGGGGCTGCTGCAGCTGCTGATCCCTGCTCTTCTCCAACATCTTGTTCCCATCTCACCCTCTCATCTTCCGTCTCACCTCACCTCACCTGTATCAACCCCAGGCACTCTTGGAAGGTGACAGACAACTCAGACCGCGCCTCTGCTGCTAGTACTGCTGCAGGGGGGGGCGCCACAGCCGCCGGCGCCAGCACTGCAGGGGGAGGCGGGATGGGGGGCGAGGGGGAGGGCATGGGGGGCGCGGGTGGGGCGTCAGCAGCAGCAGCAGCAGCGATGGGGGCGGTGGAGGTGTGGGTGGCGATGAGACGCAGTGTGACGGGCGCGGGGGAGCCTCTGGGAGTCATTCTCAACGCCGCTGCTTCTGTGTGGCTGCCCGTGCCCATGCCTCTCGCCTTTGAGTTCCTGCGCAACGAGCAGACGCGGCGTGAGGTGAGTAAGGGAGGAATCAGTGGGAGGGAATGGGCATGAGGGGCGTGAGGGAAGGAAGTTGGGTCAGAAGCAGCGGCGATGGGGGCGGTGGAGGTGTGGGTGGCGATGAGACGCAGTGTGACGGGGGCAGGGGAGCCCCTGGGGGTGATTCTCAACGCTGCTGCTTCTGTGTGGCTGCCCGTGCCCATGCCTCTCGCCTTTGAGTTCCTGCGAAACGAGCAGACGAGGCGTGAGGTAAGGGGAGGAGGGGAAACGGGAGACGAGACGGGGGTGATGGAAAGGACATGTGGTTTCATGGCGCTCGCCTTATATCAGAGCTTCTCCCCAGTCAATTCTTGTATCATACTGTCTTCTTTCTCGTAAACACATTTGGGTCTCTTGCAGTGGTGCTGCATGCGGTCGAACCCGTCCCTCCTGCTACCTCCCTCCCTCTTACCTTCTCCCTCCTGTTCCTCCCCAGTGGGACATCCTAACGAGCGGGTCAGTGGTATCGAAAATGCAAGGCCGTGTGTTTCATGCACTCTACTGCACCCCTCTAGCCCCTCACATCCCTCCCACCCCTTTTCCCTACTGTGCCTGCGCAGTGGGACATCTTGACAAGCGGGTCGGTCGTATCGGAGATGGGGCGCATACCCATAGGTGTGGACCATGGCAACTGTGTGTCACTGCTCAAGGTGCAGGTCAGTACTGGTCCCTTCTCGAGGTGTATTCAGGTGTATTGAGGTGTACTCAGGTGTATTCAGGTGTACCGGTGAGGTGCGTTGAGGTGTGTTGAAGCACGGGCATGGACCATGGTAACTGTGTGTCGCTGCTCAAGGTGCAGGTGAGTGCTCGCCCCTTCTTGAGGTCTGCCCTTCCCCTCCGCCCCACCCTGTCCGCCTTTCCCTGTTCCACCCATCCCCGTCCGCCCTTCCCCTTCCGCCCTTCTCCCCTCTGCCCTCTGCCCTCTGCCCACTAACAGCAGGCGGCAGCAGGCCCAGGGGCACAAACCAACATGCTCATTCTCCAAGAGACCACCTTCGACCCCTCAGGTGAGCCCTGGTAGTTCCTCAGGTGATCTTCAGGTGATTTACATATGATTTTCAGGTGATTGTTTTGGTGAACGCTATTTCCTGTAACCAGTGCCTGTGATTCAATGCCTATTGTTTCCTCCTTCCTGACTTTTTGCCAACTCAAAAGTCAACTCAAAAGTCACCAGTGCCTGTGATTCAATGCCTATTATTTCCTCCTTCCTGTCCTTCCCCTTCTATTCGCCCTCACCTCTCCCCTCCCCGACTGTCCCCACCAGGTGCCCTCATAGTGTACGCACCGGTGGACATACCAGCAATGAAGGAGGTCATATCAGGCGGCTCCTCCGACTCGGTCGCTCTCCTCCCCTCGGGCTTCTCCCTCCTCCCCGATTGTGCCCTCTCCTCCGACCAACGAGTAGCTCTCTTCCACGCCGCCCCCGTCCAGCCCACCGCGGGCGGCGCCGCCTCGGCAGCATTCGCCGGGGGGGCAGCAGGGAATGGCCGGTATGGGGGGGCGGAGGAGGGGTGGCAGCAGGGAGGCGAGGTGGATAGCTTGGCGGCGCAGGCGATGCGGAGCGCTGCGAGGAAGAGGGCGCTGGGACACGTTCCGGAAGGGTCCATCCTCACTGTCTCGTTCCAAATCCTCGTCAGCCCTAATCCCCAGGTATGGGTGAGAGCAAGAGGTGGATAGCTTGGCGGCGCAGGCCATGCGAAGTGCTGCGAGGAAGAGAGCACTGGGTCACGTGCCGGAAGGGTCCATCCTCACTGTCTCGTTCCAGATCCTCGTCAGCCCTAACCCCCAGGTATGCACGCGGCAAGAGCAACACGTTCAGGTATGCCACAGGTGGGGGTGGAGGCGAGGTGGATAGCTTGGCAGCGCAGGCCATGCGGAGTGCTGCGAGGACGAGGGCGCTGGGACACGTGCCGGAAGGGTCCATCCTGACTGTCTCGTTCCAAATCCTCGTCAGCCCTAACCCCCAGGTATGGGCAGAGCGAGAAGTGGTATATGGATTAGGAGTGAGGGTTATGAATGGAGCGATGGGCATTGCTGGTTTTCCTGATGGACAGCAGCATTTGGGCATGCTCGCTGTGTAGCTCACATGGAGATTCAGAGCGCACGGGGTGCCTTGTGTGACATGTTCACTGTGTTCAACTCAAAAGTCATCTCTTTTGGGAAGGGATGACATGTTCGCTGTGTTACTCACATGGAGATTCAGAGCGCTCGAGCACGAGTGTGCTAGCACTGCCCCCCCTCTATCCAACACTGGCTGGCGATTTTTTGCCAGTTGACTATCGTGGCGGCCTCATTGGCTCCTCCTGAGGCAAACCCCTTCATGCACAACCCAAATCCATTACTGCCTGGCACCACTTCACCACCCCCTCTACCCCCACCATCCCACACCCCATCGTCCCCCCACCACCCCACACCACCGGCATGGCATGGCAGGCGAAGCTGACAACGGAGAGCATGGCGACGGTGAACTCCCTCATCTGCTGCACCGTGCAGCGCATCCGCCAGGCCATGGACGTTGCCGCCGCCACACTCTAGCTGTCCCCTTCACTTATGGAAGTAAGGCCTCCGCAGCAGCCCACCTGTCCACCTGCAGCAACTCCCTCATCTGCTGCACCGTGCAGCGCATCCGCCAAGCCATGGACGTCGCTGCTGCCACACTCTAGCTGGATCTTCGAAAGTGCTCCCTCAACCAGGCCTTTTTCTCCCACCTGAACCATGGAGTTGGTCTCGTTGTCTTGAAACGCACGTACCGCAGAGTTGCTGGACATAAGGCTTCCGCAGCCCACCTGTCACCCGCAGCCCACCTGTCCACCTTCATCAACTCCCTCATCTGCTGCTGCATCCGCCAGGCCATGGATGTCGCCGCCGCCACGCTCTAGCTGCCTCAAGCTGGCTCTTCAAGTAGCGAATAGCTCTCACCCAACCAGGCCTTTTTCCCCCCACCTGAACCTGAGCACAGCCCACCTGTCCACCTTCAACAACTCCCTCATCTGCTGCTGCATCCGCCATGCCATGGACGTCGCCGCCGCCACACTCGAGCCCTGCCTGTTGCAGCTGCCCTGCCACGCTCTAGCCCTGCCCGCTACTGCCAGCCGCCCTTGTTACTGCCAGCCAACCCCAATACTGCACGCACTATCCATGTTACCGCACTGTACCGTGTCAGCCACCATATTCCACCCATCATAGTCGCTCTTCCAGCCTCCACAGGTGCTCTCTGACCTTCTCCTGGCCATCTCATCAGCTTCTTATAGCCCGACTTACGGTATGTCAGTCCGATAGCAATCTGATAGCAATTTCATTCGTCATTTCGTAGCCATCTCAGGCCCGTCTCATAGGCATCTCCTAGCCCAGCCAGCCAACTGCTGGCGACCACACACAGCAGCACAGCATCTGCACCCCTTTCTGGTGCCACCTGTGCAAGCAACCCTGCCTGTGCCAGTGTGCGCACCATGGCAACTTGCCGCTGTAGGGTTTTTATTTATTATACTGGTAGGTCATCGGTAAGGAAGGACAGTACTGTAGTTTTTCAAGCTCATGCATTGTGTCTCTAATAATGTTTCAGAAGGTTTTATTGCACATTTGCCCACCAACTTACGGGATACATACGGTGCATACAGCAGCATACAGTATAAAGAAGCGCAGCTGCACTAAATCTTGGATTACTCACTTCACTTTGAGGGTAAACAACTCTGTCCAGTCACTCCAAAGCAAGGAAGCTGAACTACATACAAAAACTCAGCTCAACTGAATAAAGAACTAAGTACCAGTCGCTATAACTAAGTACCAGTCGCTAGAACTAAGTACCAGTCGCTAGAACTAAGTACCAGTCGCTAGAACTAAGTACCAGTCGCTAGAACTAAGTACCGTAATCCCCCGCATAAAAGACCCTAGGGTCTTCTATTGATTTCAAAAAAAAAGCGAGGTGGGGTCTATATAAATGGTACAAAAATTATCAGACCCGGGTCTCAAGACATGGTATGTGTTTAGACAGATGTAATGAATTGCATTCATGTAGGAAGTGATTGCTCCGTTAAAAAAACGCTCAATACCCACGCGAATCGATTTCGGCAGGTGGCAGGCATTATCAGACTAGAATATGAATGTGGCCTTCTGATTGGCCACATTCTTTGGGGCGTAGCGCTCGAGGGGGGGTCGATTGAAATGTACCATGTCCACTGCACCGTCTCAGGCCGCCTCGGTATTCACACACCTTTTTTCTTTCCGAAAAATGTAAAAAAATAAACAAAATGGGGGGTCTTATAATGATTTCACCCCAAAAGGGGGGTCTAACTCAAACAGCCCATAATAAAAGACCCCCCCCCCCCCCCGTATTAAAGACCCGGGTACATTATTTAGGGGGGGTCTTTTATCCGGGGGATTACGGTACCAATCGCTAGAACTAAGTACCAGTCGCTAGAACTAAGTACCAGTCGCTAGAACTAAGTACCAGTCGCTAGAACTAAGAGCGTGTTCCTACACCTCGTATCAGACACACCTCGTATCAGTTTCACGTGGTGAAATGCGTTTCAGTGTGTTCGACTGCAGTTGGATGCGTTTTAGTGCGGTTCGACGCTAATCTGATACGAGGTTGCCTGATATGAGGCCGTAGGAACACGCTCTAAGTACCAGTCGCTAGAACTAAGTACCAGTCGCTAGAACTAAGTACCGTACCAGTACCAGAACTTCAAACCAGCAAAATTGGTGCCGAAATTAGAGCAAAATGGGACAGCTTCAAAGCCCAGCTACACCTAACTCCAACTGCACGTTGGCAGTAACCGAGCAATATTCAGTGTAGAAAAACTTGATCACCTAGAGACCTCCGGCGCAGGCGAGGGAGGCAAGGCGTAAGGGTACATAGACATGGGCGACCGGCCAGCCATGTGATGCGACGAAAACGGCGGACCCAGCGGCGGCGCTAGGGAAAACGCGAGAGGATCCATGTGCGACGAGCCTAAACCACCGCCGAGGCTGGACCCGAGGCTCGATCCGAGGCCAGACCCGAGCCCGAGTTGCGCGTTCATGGGGTGGCCGTGCGCGGCGGCTGCGTGGTGCAGGCGCTGCAGCTGGCGACTGAGCTCCATGGCGTGCGAGCGCAGCACGCGGTTCTCCTCTGTTAGCTGCGTGTAGTGCCGCGACGCCATGTTGTACCGCGTCGACATCTCGCTGTTCTCCGCGCGCAGCTGCGCCACCTGCGGAGGGGGAGCGAGGGGAAGCGGAGAAAAATGCAGCGCGAGAAAGCGAATTGCGGTGAGGAGGTGAGAATGACGGGTGATGAGGCAGTGCGAGCGGGTGACAGACAGGTGTTTGCGCGGAAAGGTTCAGGTTGTGGGGAGACTGGAAGAAGCAATAACCAAGGCGATAATCAAGAACAAGTAACGGGACGGGAGATTCCGAACCGACTGTCCGCAGGCGTGGATAACCCGACCCGAGGGTGGGACGAGACGGACCTGCTGGCGCATCTCGTCTAGATGGTGCTGCTTCTTCAGCCGCGACCGCCGCGCCGACTCGCGGTTGCTCAGCATCCGCTTCTGCTTCCGCTCGTCTACCACCCCGGGATCTTCGTCCGATAACGGATGCGACATTCGCGACCCGCCATGATCCTGCTGGCGATGCTGCTGCTGCTGATGCTGCTGGTTCCTCTGCTTGACGTCGGTGTCGTGGGAATTGTCGCCATTGTGGTCTCTAGCCTGGCCGGTCTCCCCTGGATGGTGATCGCCTCTGTGGTCTGTTTCATGGCTCCTGCCCGCGGAAACATTGGGGGAGTTAGTTACGCCGCCATGACCTTTCCCGAGCTCATCTGAGTGGCAGCTCTGACTGTCGCAGCCTTCCGAATTGGGCATCCTGAACGAAATTAATTCTTCCAGCTATAACGTTGTTAAGTAAGGCAATCCCCTCGTTTGGAGCAGGGTCCCAACAATGCTTTGTTGAATAAAGAAACGATCTTGCGGTGGACAGAATCTAGGAGGCAGGGAAAGGAGAGTGTAAGTGGGAAGATATGGTGCTGAAGAACGAAACCTATTCCTGCAAAGACAATGCCGGTCAATGCACGTCTATGGAGTATACAGTCCTGTGGAAAATAACGGTAATAAATCTCTGATGGGAAGTAGACGTCTAAGTTGAAGTCAAGCTTGCACTAACGGCAGGGCATAGTATCCAGATAAAGCGGTAACTCTAGTCATTTCGCAAAATGCAGGCTAAGGGCGAGTCAGTGAGCTGGAATCTGTAAGTCCTCTACTGGTCTCGTGTCTAGTGAAGCTTGATTGGGGTTTGGGGTTGTCAGCAATGGCTGCCTGTGCTGAGAGGTGCTTTCACGCTGATGTGTGATGAAAACGTCGGGCCGAAAGCGGGCACCACTCCCGCTGATCTCGTGGGGAGGGAATCGAGGGAACCGTCAAATGGCAGTGTCTGAAAGAAAATGTTTGCTGGACGTCGAAAGAAGCTGCCCAGCAACATTATCTCATTAATAGGGAGTAAAAATGACGGCGGGGGGGAATTAAGAGGGTCGTGTACAGTCTTGTGAAGAAAACAATACTCCGCCTGTCGGTTGGAAGAAAAGGTCCTCACCTGCCCGAAATGTAGGTTTACAGCTGGAGGAGTTTGGAGGGGGCCTAGAAGGCCCCACCATACATGGCACGAACGGCGACCACGCAAGCCTGACGTGTAACGCTGCGCCATTCGTGGCGGTTGCTGAGCCATCAGGAGCCATCGGATCAAGGTTCCATCTTCATGCGTGGCGCTTAGTCACGGTGGTGCATCGCTGAGGTGAACCCGCTTTTTTACAGCTGACGGATGGCAGGCGTGGTGGACAAGGTTCTGACGACAGCTGAGTCGACGCCTTGTCATTATCGTCAGATCTAGCGGCAGGCAGATCCACCGAATAAATGGTTTGATTTCGAGCTCAAAGTTACAATATTGCACTTTTTCTGAACCTTCAATGTCCTTCAGCTTTGAGGATGTTTTTAACGAGAATAAGAAGTTCATTACCCCATCCGCTTGCTATGATTTCAGAGTAGGTTTCTCCCTTGGTTTTCTGCCTTGATTTTAGGCCATAGCTGCAGCCGCCCGTCAGAGTTATATCCCTATTGCCAAGCCATGTCCGCGTTGCGTCTCGCGAGTAGCCTCGCCTCTGTTGGCAACATTCGCGGCGAGTTTGCCGCGAATCGAGTCAGCAGCTTTACAAGCAGAGTTGTCGATCCATTCTCCGTAACCGATCAAGCAAAGCCTTTCGCCCGGAATGTTACCCAGCGAGCATCGCGAAGCGTAGGCGAGAGCCCTTCCTCCACCGCCCGCTCTTCTCGCAATTTGAAAATGGTCGCCCATGCGAACATTGCGACGACCCCCCCGACGGCGACTGCTACGACAGTGGATCCGACGTCGCCCGACTTTTGCGGCGAGGACGGAACAGTGCTCGTGCGACCGCTAGCGGATATTCAAGCTGGCGATAGGAAGGGAAAGAAATTCCACGTTCACACCTTCGGATGCCAGGTGGGGTCGAGCTATTGGCGGGTCCCGGGATGCTTGAAAACGAGGCCTTTTATCGGAATGCTCTAAAAGGAGACCTGTTTTTGTGCAAATCTCATTCTGAGTGCTTCAGCGTGGCGGTTAGATCCATAAACGTCGTCAGAACCCTCAACCCTGCCGAACCGTTAGCTTCTCTCCCTTTCTCTCGCGTTTTTTTTCGCTCCAGTCCAGGGGAATTGAGAATTTTGGAAGAAAGCAAACGGATGTAGCCGCTGTGATTTTTTCCTGCTTACATTGCCTCCCTCTTGGCCTTCGCCATCCCCTACCCCTCCCCTTCCCCCTCTCCTTCCCCTTCCTATTCCCCTTCCCCTTCCCCTTCCCCCGTCCGTTCCCCCTCCCCGCAATCCAGATGAACATGGCGGACAGCGAGCGCATGGCGGGCGTGCTGGAGGCAATGGGGTACGAGGCGACGGAGGACCCGGATCAAGCGGCCGTGCTGGTGTACAACACGTGCAGCATCCGTGATAAGTCCGAACAAAAGGTTTATTCTGCTCTGGGGCGGCAGCGCGAGAGGAGGAGGCGGGATCCGAGCATGCGCGTGGTGGTGGCGGGGTGCGTGGCGCAGCAGGAGGGGCACGCGCTGCTGCGCCGCGTGCCTGAGGTTGATATCGTGATGGGGCCGCAGCATGCAAACAGACTGCATGAACTGCTGGAGCAGGTGGGTGGAACGAGCGTCTGCACTGGTGGGGGGTTGGGTCGCGGCAGGAGGGGCGCGCGTTGTTGCGGCGGGTGCCTGAAGTGGACATTGTGATGGGGCCGCAGCACGCTAACAGACTGCACGAACTGCTGGAGCAGGTGGGTGGAACGAGGGGAATGAGGATGGGCGGCACAGCGGGGCGGCACAGGGATGAGGCTGGGCGGCACAGGAACGAGGCTGGCGGCATGCTGATCAGCTTTCCTTGCATGTGCACAATAAACTGATTGCAACAGATGTCCTTGTCTTCTTATGCACCCCTTGCCTCAGGTGGATCTGGGTGCTCAGGTGGTTGCAACAGAGCCAATCCACATTGTGGAAGATATCGCCACGCCCAGGAGGTCAGGAGCACCTGGGTTTTGGGCACCTGGGGTGGGGGCACCTGGGTTGGGGGCACCTGGGATGGGAGCACCTGGGTTGGAGCTTGCTTGCTTTCGTGCTGTGTAATGAATGCGTTGCTTGTCCGTGCATTCAGCATGCTGCTGCCCGTGCTCTGATTCAGCATGCTGCTGCCCGTGCTCTGATTCAGCATGCTGCTGCCCGTGCACTGCTGACTGGTTAAGCAATCATTCTTCTTGTCCTTGCTTCTGTTGCTGCTGTGCTGTTGGGCTTACAGGGAGTCCACGATCACAGCATGGGTCAACGTCATATATGGTGAGTCGTGCAGTGTTGTGTTGGCATACGAAGCGAAACAGTGAGTGTGAGTGCTGCACTGCGCTCTTGTAATGCAGTGGCATGGGTACTATCAGCCTACGTTAAAGCCGCCTCAAACCTTGTGTGATGCAGTGAGTGTGAGCGCTGCAGTACGCACTTGTGATGTGATGCAGTGGCGCGGTTCCTATCAGCCTGCCACTGCTGCATGACGAGTCTGCTGCTGTTTGCAAAGGGGGGGGACCCTCAATACCCTATCACCCTGTCCCCTCTCTCCTCACCTCCTTTCCCCCATCCCTCCCCTCCCCCCACACACACCAGGGTGCAACGAGCGGTGCACGTACTGTGTGGTGCCGGGGGTGAGGGGCACGGAGCAGTCACGAGAGCCGGAAGCCATTCGACAGGAGATGCAGCGACTGGCAGCAGCAGGGTACAAGGAGGTGACGCTGCTGGGGCAGAACATTGACGCGTATGGGCGCGACCTGGGGGGGTCAGCGGAGGACGGGTCTGGCAGGAGGAGGTGGACTCTTACAGACTTGCTGCGATACGTGCATGATGTGGAGGGCATTGAGAGGATCCGATTCGCTACCTCCCATGTGAGTCACTAGGTCGCTGGCAGGGTACAGGGAGGTCACGCTGCTGGGGCAGGAGGAGGTGGACTCTCACTGACCTGCTGCGATACGTGCATGATGTGGAGGGCATTGAGAGGATCCGATTCGCCATGTCGCATGTGAGTGAGGCCATGCACGTCACGCACAAGGCACATGTTACCTGGCACTGGCAGGAGGAGGTGGACGCTCACAGATTTTCTGCGAGACGTGCATGACGTGGAGGGGATTGGGAGAATTCGATTCGCCACATCCCATGTGAGCTGTCACTGTGTGCTGGCGTTTGAGCTTAGCATTGCTACGCAGAGCAGAGCTGCCCAAGGCCTTCCCATATCGGCACAACTACCCCCCCCTTGCATACCCCCAAACAACCCCCCCCCCCCTTTCCCTCGTCCCTCTGTACCCACCAGCTGCGCTACTTCACGGAGCGGTTGATCAAGGTATGTGCGGAGCTGTCCAAAGTGTGACACTGACCGCCCTTGCGTTCCCCCATCCCCCCTTCCTCCCCATGTCCCACACCCCACCCTTTGACTTCCTCTCTGCCCATCAGCCGCGCTACTTCACGGAGAGGCTGATCAGGGCGTGTGCAGAGCTGCCCAAAGTGTGCAAGCTCTTCCACATCCCCTTCCAATCGGGCGACAACGACATTCTCAAGGTCAGTGGAAGGAGTGCAATGCGGTGATGGGGGGTGTGATGTGGTGTGGTGATAGGGTGTGCGGAGCTGCCCAAAGTGTGCAAGTTCTTCCACATCCCCTTCCAATCGGGCGACAACGACATTCTCAAGGTATTTCAAAGGGTTGCGATGTGGTGATGAAGGGTGTGATGGGGCTTGCTTGCCTGCAGTGTGCAAGTTCGTCCACATTCCCTTCCAATCCGGGGGCAACGACATTCTCAAGGTCAGTACAAGGGTTGCAATGCGGTGTGAGTGTTGGGATGTGGTGCGGTGATGGGGGGTGGTGCGGTGATGGGGTGTTACAGGCTGCATTCCCTGTATCTTGGCACGTCAACTCAAATCTCGAGAGAAATAAAAACATGACAAAAAAACGAACAAAAACAAAACAAAACATTACCAAGAAAATAAGGAAAAAATCTCCTGGTTGACTCTCGTCCCCACCAGGCCATGGCACGGGGGTACACGAGGGAGCGCTATCTGGACATTCTCGCCACCATTCGCCGCTACATGCCGTGGTGACTTATGAATCGACTCAATAAAGAATTTCTTGCTCGCCTCTCCCCCCCCATCCAGGCCATGGCACGGGGCTACACAAGGGAGCGCTATCTCGACATCCTCGCCACCATTCGCCGCTACATGCCGCATGCTGCCATCAGCGCTGATGTCATCGTCGGCTTCCCTGGTGCGTGCGTCATCACGATGCTGCTGGTTCTGCTGGAAGAAGAGAATTTTCCTCCTTTCCCCCTCTTCTGATGCTGCTGCTGACTGGCATTGTTGTAAAACAAACTTTCTCCATTTTTTTGTGTCTTCAGTCGAAGCATTAACTTCGTTTTTCCTCCCACCTTCATTACCCCGTTGGCTGCCGTATGTGCATCTGCAGGGGAGTCGGAGGAGCAATTTCAAAACACTCTGCGGGTCCTGGAAGGTGCGTTTCAGCGCCCAGGTTCATGCAAGATGCGACGTAGGTTGATGGAATGTGCGGTCGTTAGCGGCATGTATTGTGTGCCCAACGATTTGCCTTTCACCCTTCCCTATGTCATTTGTAGGATGTCTACTTTTCCTCCATCCCTTCTCCCATCATTCCCTCTTGCCTCCATAACTCAACTCCTCCTCCATCCCTCACTCCCTCCTCCGTCCCCCACTCCCTCATCCGCCCCTTCTCCTTCCCTCCCTCCATCAGAGGTGCGCTTTGACCAGGTCAACACAGCAGCCTACTCGCCCCGCCCCAACACACCTGCAGCTGACTGGGCCAACCAGGTACCCATACCTTGCTCATCCCCCACCCCACCTCTTTCTCCTAGCCCTCTCTCTTCCCTCGTTAATAGCTCCTTCCCTCCTTCCTCTGCGCCATGTGTCAAATACACTCATCATCACCCCGTCCCTGTGTGTGTGTGTGTGCAGGTAGCAGAGCTGGTAAAGATTGACCGACTACAGCGCATAAATGAGTGAGTCTTGCGCTTTTGCAAATCATATGCTCTCACATGCTGCATATTCTTCCAGGTCAACTTGAAATGCCTTATATCTGCCTGTCAAGTTCTGTTAACCAATCTCTCCTCGTGATTTTTCAAAAGAGTCAGAAGTAGTTGTGCTGACAAACGTTTTTCTGACTCTTTTCCCCCTCCGCAACGTCTCTCTCCCCCTGGAGTGCAACCAGCGGTACCTGGGGCATGATTACTCACATCCTCAACCCGTACCTTCCCCACCCCACCCCACCCCTCCCCACCCCATTTCTCCCCCTTCAACCTCTCTCTCTCTCTCCCGGGCAGGATGGTATTGAATCACTGCTTGGAGCGCAACCAGCGGTACCTGGGGCGAATTGAGCCACTGCTGGTGGAGGGAGTAAACGCGCGAGCAGGGCGAGAAGGAGAGGTGAGCCGGGCAGGGAGGGCGGCAGGGGGGCAGGGAGGGAGAGAGGCAAGGCGACGTAATCATGGGTGTGTGGGTGATCACAGGAAGGGAGCAGTATTTGATGAAGGGAGGGGGGGGGAGATGCTCTATATGAGCTCTGTATGCGCTCTTTTACGAGTCCATGGGATGCGCTGCATCAAGTGTTTGTATGGCATGTGCTCTGTGCAACTTGTTTATCACATCTCCACCGCATGGCATGGCATGGCATGGCATGGCATGGCATGGCATGGTGTCACATGGCAGGTCATGGGTCGCACGGACACCAACCGCCTCACTTTCTTTAAGGGCAGCCCGGACCTCATCGGGCAGATAGTGCCGGTCAGAATCACCGATGTTCGGGCAGTCAGCCTCACTGGCGAGCTGGTCTCTGCTGCTGAAGCAGCTGCTGCTGCTACTGCTGATGCTGCTGCTGCTGTTGCTTGAGATGGCGTGATAATGCTGTTAGAAGGGTTGGCATGTATTCCGGTATGGAAACTAGCGGAACTCGCGGATAAGCTCACGCTGCTGGCTGCAGTGTTGGTGCTATTAGATTAGATCTTGGAAGCATGTCTGTTTTACGAGCAAGCTGTTGTAAGTGGTTGACTGAAATTACTGGTATCACGGGTGGCTATGCAATGCATCCATCCGTAGGGCTTCATTACTGTGAGCCAAGCTCTTGTTTCATGACATAACATTACCTCCACATACGGAAAATTCCATTCCCATCACATCCTGGCTAGTGACATGATGACATTGCCTTTTGATTGGACAGAAAGGTACATTGAAACACCAGCAACAAACGACATGCTGCACTTGCTCGCAAAAGCACACGCCTAAATAACATATGTGGATCACTTATTTACGTTACACCGATATCCACCAATCCTCCTTTTCACCAGCCGCAGCATCGCCACAAGTCTACACCACTCCCCATTGTGGTCCCACCTAGCAGCCACTGGGTGGGTGGGTGGGAGCACCTTCCAGCTCTAACGTGCACTCTTCCATTCTGAGCGTAGCATCCACGCCGGCTCCCAGAAATTTAGTGACTATTTTTCTCTTCTTCCTCTGCTTCATCCGCGTCCCCACAGTTCCACGGCCGGCACACACACTCTGCACCATAGTCCGCTCCTGCAGAGGCCTCAAGCGGGATTCACTCATCCCAAAAACCAAATCCCAGGAACTAGCTCTTCTTGTCCTCTTCCTCCTCCTCATCAGCATCCCCGCAGCTCCACGGCCAGCAGGAACAGTCCGAGCCGCACCGTAGTCCGCACCAGGAGAGGCTCCAGCCACAGCTTCACTCTTCCCAAAGCTAGCTCCCCAGAAAACTAACTCTTCCTCCTTCTCACCCGCATCCCCACAGCTCCACGACCAGCAAGAACAATCCTATCCGTAGTCCGCACGAGAAGAGGCCTCGAGCTAGGAATTCACTCGTCCCAAAGCCCAGCTCCCAGAAACTAACTCTTTTTCTCTTCTTCCTCCGCCTCACCAGCCTCCCCACAGCTCCACGGCCAGCAGGAACAGTCTGACCCGTAGTCCGCACCAGGAGAGGCCTTAAGCCACAGCCCCACTGGTCCCAGGAAACTAACTCTTTTTCTCCTCTTCTGCCTCCGCCTCACCAGCCTCCCCGCAGCTCCACGGCCAGCAAGAACAGTCTGACCCGTAGTCCGCACCAGGAGAGGCCTCGAGCCATGGCGTGCACTGCTCCTGGGAGTGGTACCCCGGCGGCAGGTGCTTGTGAAACGCCTCCACAGCCCCGTCCACCCCGTCCTCCCTGGCTATCTTGCCTGCCAGCTCCTTAGCTGCTACTACCACCTGCAACGTGGGTGAATAGAGAAGTAGAAATGAGGGAGGGCGTGCACTGCTCCTGGGAGTGGTAGGCAAGCAAGCAAGCTCCCTCGCAGCTGCTACCACCTGGAACAGGGCGAACAGAGGTAAGAAGGGGGTGCGCATTTAAACGAGGGAGGTTTTGCCAAGCAAGCATGCACAGGGACCAAAGAAGCCTCCACTGCCCCGTCCACCCGTCCTCCTTGCCTATCTTGCCCGCCAGCCCCCTCGCTGCTGCCACCACCTGGCAGAGAGAGGATAGATGCAAGCCGCAAGGGGCGGAGGGATGGAGGGGGCATGCAGACGGGTGGACCTAGAGAGCCTCCCTTGCCCTGTCCGCTCTGCACATGGGATGGATGGACATGCAACCCCTGTGTTGTGCACTCTGCACATGGGGATGGGTATGGCCTAACACTCCACCCCTGGGTTCCAGATCCCTTTCCACCCCGCTCGCCTAACCTCCACCCTAAACACTCACCTCTCGCCCCCTCGCCTCTCCCAACCCTGCTTCTCACCTCATCCCGAATCATGAATTCAATGGCTGCCACAATCTTGTCGAGTGTGAGCGAGCCAATGGGGATGGGCTCTGGACCCACCCCCGCTGCATGCACACCTCTAAGCACTCTCCTCTGACCACCCTCCCTTCTCCACCGTGCCTCTCACCTCATCTCGGATCATGAACTCGATGGCTGCAACAATCTTGTCGAGCGTGAGCGAGCCGATGGGGATGGGCTGCAGCTACCTCACCTCCCTCCCTCACCTGCAATCACCTGCCCTCACCTGTCCTCTCCTCTCACCTCGTCTCGGATCATGAACTCAATGGCTGCAACAATCTTGTCAAGTGTGAGCGAGCCAATGGGGATGGGCTCTGGTCCCACCCCCGCTGCATGCACGCGTGCCCCCCAGAAGGGCTGGTCACCGAAGAAAGGGATGATGGTTGTGGGACACTGCGGGGGGGAAGGGGGTTAGGGTGGCACGGGGAAAGGGGAGGGGGTTGGGGATTGAAAACCCATTTCATGCCCGCTGCATGCATGCGCGCCCCCCAAAAGGGCTGATCGCCGAAGAAAGGGATGATGGTTGTGGGACACTGCGGGGCAGAGGGGGAACAGAGGGGAGAGAAGTGGGAAGGGAGCAAGGGGGAGGTGAGAGTGGAGGGGGAGGAGCGGGGAGGGCACGGGGGGGAGGGGGGGGGGGAGTTGCAAAGATGGGGGAAGCAGGAAGCATGGAGATGATGCAATTCAGAGCTTCTGTATGATAAGCAAGCGGCACTGGGGGTGGTGGGAGTCGGAGGAGGGAAGCAGATGGAATGAGGGGTGTAGGGGGGTGGGATAGCAAGGGTGGGACAGCAGGGGTGGGACAGCAAGGGTGGGACAGCAGGGGTGGGACAGCAGGGGTGGGACAGCAAGGGTGGGACAGCAAGGGTGGGACATAGCTGGCAAAGTGGAGGGTGGGGGGGTGCAGCCAACGTATCAGACCCCTGATGGCTGCCTTGACGCTGCTCAAGCAGCTACTCACCCGCTAGCTACCTGAACCACCACTCCCTAACCATGCACACGCCACTCACACCTGCTTTGAGCCCGGCAGCAGTGGTGGCGGCGCCCCCGTGGTGCAGCACTGCCCTGCATGGTTTCAGTCTGTCACGCAGACCACACACCCCAGGCTGCCATGCACACACACCACTCACCCCTTCCCTGCCCCACTCACCGCGGCCTTGAGCCCGGCAGCAGTGGTGCCAGCCCCCCCATGGTGCAGCACAGCCCTGCATCGCGGGAAGAGCCAGTCGTGCGGGCAGTTGCCTATCACCAGCACGTTCTCATTGGGTGTTTCCACTGGCAGGGTGGGGAGGAGGAAATGGGGGAGAGAGGGGGGACGACACAGGGGACGGGATAGAGAGATGGGAGAAAGAATGAAGAGCCAGTTATGCGGGCAGTTGCCGATCACCGGCACATTGGCGTTGGGTGCTTTCACTGCTGGAGTGCGGGTCAAGTAGGTGAAGGGAAGGTGAAGGGAAGGTACAGTGGTGGGAGTAAAGGTACAGTGGTGGGAGTAAAGGTACAGTGGTGGGAGTAAAGGTACAGTGGTGGGAGTAAAGGTACAGTGGTGGGAGTAAAGGTACAGTGGTGGGAGTAAAGGTACAGTGGTGGGAGTAAAGGTACAGTGGTGGGAGTAAAGGTACAGTGGTGGGAGTGAAGGTACAGTGGCGGGAGTAAAGGTACAGTGGTGGGAGTAAAGGTACAGTGGTGGGAGTAAAGGTACAGTGGTGGGAGTAAAGGTACAGTGGTGGGAGTGAAGGTACAGTGGCGGGAGTAAAGGTACAGAGGAGGGGATACGATTGTTGGGGGGGAAGGCAAATCATGTGGGAAGAAGCTTCAAGAAACGAGCAGAAACATGTAGCATGCGTATGCATGAGAATGCAGCAGCTCTTAAGCCCACCGGGGGAAAATAATCCCCTGCTTCTATGACACTCACTCTCCATCCATCCATCCATCCATCCCACTTGCTACATCCTTCCACGGCACTCCCTCCATCCCATCAGCGGCACTCACTCTTGCCCAGCCCGCCCCAGCCCTCCTGCAGTATCCCGCGCTGCCCCGTGCGCTGCAGTGCCTCCACAAACTTCTGAGTCAGCCCCTTGGGGTCTGATACTGGCTGCAGTGCGGGGGAATGAGGGGAGAGAGAGAGGAGGGACGGAGAAGAGGGGTTGAAGAGGGGCGAAGCATCACTTATTGCTGCCCTGTGCGCTGCAGTGCCTCCACGAACTTCTGAGTCAGACCCTTGGGGTCTGATACCGGCTGCAGGGGGGGGGGGAGGGGAGAGCGAGGAGGGAAAGGGGGGGGTGGAGGGACGAGGGTGGGTGGGGGGGAAGGGGGGTAAAATGGGGTGCGAGGGCGGGTGAAGAGGGGCAAGGCATCACTCATTGCTGCCCTGTGCACTGCAGTGCCTCCACAAACTTCTGAGTCAGACCCTTGGGGTCTGATACCGGCTGCAAGGGAGGAAAGGGGGGTTGGGGTTGGGGGGGGGGGGAGAGGAACGCAACAGAGCACAAACCAGTGCATAGACAGCATACATGCTTCCACATGGCACTCCATCTGGGGAACCAGGCCCATTGTGTGAGAATGACAAAGCAGGTATAGTGACTTTAAAACAAAAGAAAGGGGACGAGGTGGCAGCAACCATCGTGTGAAGAGAGAAAGAGAAGAATGATATAGCATGCTGTCATTGTGCGAGAATGAAAGACAAGGTGCAGTGAGTGACGCACCAAGCTGCCGAAACCGATGAAGATGGGGGGCGGGCCCGAGTCAAGCCATTGCTGGATGTGTGCGGGAGGCGAGTAGTGTTCCGCTAGGTTGAGAAAGCAGAATCCCACCACGTCTATTAGGTTTCCCCAGTCTGGGTTGCGGGAGGGCACAGTGGGGGTGGGTGGTGGTGTGTGAGGAAGGGGAAAACGTGGGCTAGTGGCGGTCCGCTAGGTTGAGAAAGCAGAACCCCACCACGTCTATTAGGTTTCCCCAGTCTGGGTTGGGTTGAGACAGCAGGAGTGCAGGACGGGAAAGGCAGCAGGGCAGGTGGGTGTGAAAGCGGGAGTGAAGCAGGTTGAGGAGGCTGTATCCCACCACGTCTAACAGACTGCACAAGGTTGGGTTTGATTGGGGCAATGGGAAACTGGGATTGCAGAAGTGGCATACCATGGGGTTTGGGGGCGAGGGTGGGGCTCCAGATATAGCCGAACGGGATGCGCATCTTGGGGTGACCCGTGGGGGTTCGGGACACGGTAAAAAAGCATAAGTGTATTACTGATACTACGATGGTAGGGCACACGAGTGGGGCTCACCGTGGGGTTTGGGGGCGAGAGTGGGGCTCCAGATATAGCCGAACGGGATGCGCATCTTGGGGCGGTTGCGCAGAGGGATGGGCGGCAGCTTGAGCTTCTTGCGGAAACTGTTGATGAAGTCCCTCACTCCCAGCCACATCAGCCCCTCCACCACTACGTACGATAGCTGCGGGAAGGGCATGGAGGAGAGGGGCAAGGGCAAGGGGGAAGGGGGAAGGGTAGAGGAGAAGAGAGGTCGATTGATGAAGTCCCTCACTCCCAGCCACATGAGCCCCTCCACCACCACGTACGACAGCTGGGAATATGGTTGGAGCATGGAGAGAAACACGGCAAGAAGGAGAGTGTGAAAGGCTGGTCGATGAATCATCGCTGAACAGTAAATAGAGAGAGCTGAGAAGCTGAGAATCAGTGTCATATGAGGGGGCTGACAATATGAGAACATGACAATACTGCAACCTGCGCCACCTCACTTGTTCCATTTTCCTTGAAAAACGCATTTAAAGCATGGATGGCCAGCAAGCGTACCTGGTTCTCGTAGCCTGTGTAGGCGGGCATCTCGCCAGCCAGCGGATGGGGATACTCTGTCGTCATGCTGCCCGCGCAGTCAGGGAACAAAGGGTAGGGAGCGGAATGGCATGAGGGCATGAGGGATGCATGCGTGGGTGTTTGAGAAATACTATGTGTCTGTGCATGTTTGGGGGGAACCTTGGGAGGAAAGATGAGGGATGATTGAAGGGTGACGCGTCTACTCCAAGGTACCATCGAGTTACATAAACAGTTGCATGGCTAGAGCAGGGCGTACCTCCATGGCATGGTGAAGAACAAGTGTAGCGGCACTTGCAGTGCTTCTGCCACTGTGGTGTGACCTGCATGCATGGGCGCACGGGGCGGATTGGGGGCGCATGGGGGAGCATGGAGGCGCATGGTGGGGTATGGGGGTGCAAAAGGCCACATGGCTGGACATGGGACGCGTGGGGGCGCATGGAGTTGTGTGCACATGCATGTACGTATCCATGGCTTGCACACATCCCCTTCGCTCCCTTTCCCCCGCACCCCCAACAACACCAGCTCTTTCCTCCCCCTCCTCCCACCTCCTCCCACCCCCCCACTCCCCCTTAGCATACCATGCATGGGCTCAAGGATGTGGCCGACCCCACACACGCACGTGGAAGGAAGAGCACACATACCGTACACGGGGGGGTTGGCAATGATGGCGTCGGCGCGGAAAGGGGGGCCATTGCTGGCAACGTCGGGCTGGGTGCAGGCGGGCCAGGTGGAGAAGATGATTGACTTGAGCTGCCGCCGCTGCTGTAGCACCTCCTTGCGGCTCGACGGCAGGAAACCCTTGTTCTTCACCATGTCTGCCCAAGGGGGGGAGGGGGGGGGGGGGGGGGAGGGGGGAAGGTGGGGAGGGGAGAGAGAGAAGGAGGGTGGACGAGGCATGGCAGTGGAAGGGCGTGGATTGGATGACTCTCCAAGCCCTTGTCCTCACATCGCTCCCTCCCCTCACTTACTTACCCTCACTTCTTTTCCCCCCCTTTGCGCTCACCCCCCCCCCTCCGCGCACTCACATTCAGCGAGCACCTTGGGATCGCCGCCCAGGGGGTAGAACTCGAGCCCGCCCGCGGTGACGAACTCGCGGTAGTTGCTGTGCGACGCCAGCCGCACGCGGTGCCCGTAGCCCTGCCAGGGGGGGTGAGGGCGGATGGCATTGAGGGGGGGGGGTGTTTGAGGCGCCTCAGTAGTTGCTGTGGGACGCCAGCCGCACTCGGTGCCCGTAGCCCTGCCATGGGGAGTGAACGCGGATGGCATGAGGGGAGAAGGGAGCTTAAAGAGTCGCCTCATAAGCCGCACGCAGTGCCCGTAGCTCTGCCAGGAGAGGAGGGGGGAGGGGAGGGCGCGGATGGCACGGGGGGAGCAGCAGCGATGTCGCCGTGTGAAGGGGAATGAGCGCGGATGGCGCCGTGTGAAGGGGAGAAGCGCGGATTGCCCGAGGGGGGAAGCATGGACGTGGTGGGAGGGAGAGAATGGAGATGACGGGAGGGGATTAGGGGAGGAGGCGAGGGGAGGAGATAAGGGGTGAAAGCGACCATTCCTCTCTCACACCCCCTCCTCTTAACACTCCTCCAACCAACCAACTCCAACCCACCCCAACCCGCGCCCTTTCCCACCCGCGCGCCGCACCTTCAGTTTCTGACCAATCGCGATGAACGGCTGTACGTCCCCGCGCGTGCCCACGATCAGTATGCAGATGTTCAGCTTCCCCACGCTCTCCGCCGCGCGCGGCGCAATCACCTCGCCCTCGCGCCCCGCCTGGTCCTGCGGCTGCGCGAACATATGCAGAAACTCCTCCTGGAGTTCCCGAGGGAAATTATCCGTCTGGATCTGCACCTTGTAGTCATCCCCCACTAGCGTGTTCCGCTTCAGCTCGTTGTAGAATCTCGACGCGACGGCCGCGCGTTGCCGGCCCGTCAGGTACGCGGACCGCCGGGTGTAGGGCGACTTGGTTCGTGGCAAATCCGTGGCGGCTCGTCTCATATTCGACACGCCGTCTCTCGTATCCCCACCGTCCGACCCTTTCTCCCCGTCCATGTTCCCGTGGCCGCTGCTTAGAATCATGCTGTCGCTAACCCTAGAAGACGTGCAGTCGTCATCCTCGTTATGGGACTGTTTCGCCATAATGGGCAACGAGTACACTCTAACGGTATCTGTGAAAGATGTCGCTGGATCGGATTGGCTGCTCTGCCGAGGGCCTTGCTCCCAGCCGGTCGCGGAGCGCTCTGCGATCGCGGGGTGATCCATGCCCGCAAGCGGTTGCGCTTGAAAGTGCGGGGGGATAGCTACGTCTCCTTTGTTAGCGCGACTCGCTTCGTTGTAAGACGAATCTTGAACTACAAGACGAGGCTCTGGCGGAGGATTACTGGCATCAGCCGCGGAAACGGCATCATTTGCCGATGCTGTTTCTCTGGTAGAGCCATCGTTAGTGGACGACGGTGGACCTGGAATGTCCGCGGCGCTTTCCCGGTCAGTGACGGAAGGCTGTGTCATTTTGAGCCACAGACTGGCGTTGTGCCAGGAACGGCTTTTTGCGACGCGAACAAACGTCGAGTACCCTATAATCTATGGCGTCCCGCGTATTGAGGTGCTTGCTGGGATCGACTCTTTACGAGAAACATGTACTTCTAATTAGTTATAGGGAACTCCACGGTTGACGAGAAAGGGACTTGCCAGAGAACCAACGAAGGAAGCATCGACGCAACGAAACGTCGACGTGGGCCTTGCCTCCTTTGCCGGAACCAATCAGCAACGCCGTTTCTTGATTTAGGTGGTGCCAGTGTACTGTGGCATCAAACTAGGCCTGATTCGCATCAATGCTCTGCGTGTACGTACACTACAGTACTAGGAGTGCTTGCCGTATGAAAAATCTAGGAGCACTTGTATTGTACACTACGCAGCACGTCATCTCGCACAAAGCTAGGAGCACTGAAGGCGACATCAAAACCCGAGGAGCAAGGCACAGCACAGCACCTAGCAGCACTGCACCTTGGTTGTGCCGTGCCCTGCCGTATCAAAATGGACGCTTCTCCTGCCTTGAGCAAGCCCACGTTTCATCCTGGCCACAGAATAATCACAGATCAAACCACGGCTTCTGAGGCTCCTCGAGGTTGTCGCCTGAAACATTGGTGGTTGGTTGGCTGCACAAATGTCTCGGCTACATCAATGCAACATCGAGATTCTACCGACTATTTGCTGGCTATGAGCCACATGTACGGGGGAGCACTAAGGAATCCGCGCAGGTGCTGAGGTTTGTAATGTCATTTCACTTCAATCATAAGGATATGTTCTTTCGCTTCAATATGAAATAACTTTCAACAACTCTACTATTACCATTTTGCACTCCTTCAAATTGCCTACATATAAATTTTCTAACAGGCCAGATTACATGTTCAGCACAATGGTCGCGATACAATCAGGGTCTATTCACCCTGTTGAAATGGGAGCCTGCTGGACAATTATTTAACCCAGAAGGGTCTTATGGGTTTTCAGTCCATACGAACTAACCATACCCCAGTCAGGCAATAAGCCTGCTACAATACATAACAATACAACCGACTGTACCACCACGTAGGTACCACCGAACCAACATTGTACAGAACATGTGCCCACCGTATATAATACAGACAGCGTCACACTATGGCATGAGGGATCCGAGTGTCTCCACGACCTGCACATGAAACGCACACAATATCATAAATGCCATTTCCATTGGAAAAAACATACCCCGTGCTATCAACTTAACTATACTCTACACATTGAAGACTTGCTGTCCTCCCTCTCCCGCTCTCACCTGTTCCATTGTAGGTCTCTTGGACGGATTTGACTGAGTGCACCGAAGGGCCAGCTCGGCCAACCCCTCCACCTGGACAAGGAGGGGAGGGGGCGATGGAGAGTGGAACAACAAACAAGTGCTTGCACGCCTTCCCATGCCAACTTGACGTTGTGAGCTGCTGACGAAGCTAAGGCAGAGACTTTAAAAGGCAGTGACTTTCAAAGGCGTCAACGTTCACAGTGCTCTCGATCAATACTTGTGGCATACTGCGGAGCAGGCAGCAGGCAGCAGGCAGCAGGCAGCAGGCAGCAGTCAGCACACCTCATGGGGGTCGAACTCGTCAGCAAGCCGCGGGTCCACCAGTGCTGCCAGGTTGTCCCGCCCCACCCACAGCTTCTGCCGAGCCTGCCATGGGGGGGCATGGGGTAAAGGGGCGGTGTGGGTGGGGCAGAGGGGCGAGCGGACGGGGCAGAGAGGAGGAGTTGAGGGGCGGAAGGGGGAAATAGCAGGGTGGAGGGGCATGGGGCAGAGCAGATGAAGGAGCAGGGGAGGGACAGGGGAGGGACAAGGCAGGGGGAAAGGTCGGGGGGAAAAGGTCAGGTGGGAAAGGTCAGGTGGGGAAAGCACGTGCGAGAGGCAGAAAGCCTCTCACCCAGTCGACGAGGGAGGCAGGCATGCGGCGTGGTCGTGTGGGTGCTGCCCCGAGATGATTTAAAAGTTCAAACACCACCACGCCAAACGCAAGCACGTCTGCCCCCTCCATGCCAGGGCGGCCCTTGCCGGCTGTAGCGGTGGACTGACAGATGGACAACTCACCCAGTCGACAAGCGAGGCTGGCATGCGGCGTGGGTCCTGTGGGTGCTGCCCCGAGATGATCTCAAACACCACCACTCCGAACGCAAACACGTCTGTCGCCTCCATGCCCCCCCGGCCCTTGCCGGCTGTAGCAGTGCCAGGAGGGGAGGAGTTGGCGAAGGGGCTCCGGGACTTGGGGGAGGTGGAGGGGAGTAGCTCTGGGGCAGCGTACCTGATGGGGGGGAGGGGGAGATGTGGGAGGAGGGGAGAATTGGCAAGAGGGGAGAGACATGGGGCGGATGATTGACCGAGAGGGTAGGTGTGGAGGATGTAGAATTTCACCTGTCAATGTTTGTGAGGTGTAGACTTATTATCCCAATTTATTTTGTTGTGAGACCCCAGTCCTTTAATTCAGCCATGCGAATGCCATGCCGTGACATGCTCTCCATGCCTCCTTCCCATCCGAACTTCAAGCCACGTGCCTTCTATGGATCGCAGGTTCTCTGTAACAGAGGAGGCAGAAGCATGCGGGTGGCGAGGCAAACTCACGCATCAAGGTACAAGTCTTCTGCAGACCGCTCTTCCGCGCTCCCACTCCTATTCTTCCCACCACCAACAGCACCAGCACCAGCAGCACCAGCAGCACCAGCAGCAGCACCAGCAGCAGTACCAGCAGAGGCGGCGGCGGCGCAAGCAGGCGCGTGAGGGGTGAAGTGGGGCATGCCAAAGTCGGAGAGCTTGGGCGACACGTGGCGGTCCATGAGGACAGAGCGCGAGCTCACACGGCCGTGCACCATGGGCGGGAGGCAGAAGGAGTGCAGATGCAGCAGCCCCTCCGCCACGCCTTCGACCATTCTCACTCGCACCTCCCAGGGAAGTACTGGGACCGCCTCGTCTGCATTGTGCATGGGGATGGAGCGCAGGGGTGGGGTAGAGATGAGTTTGGGCGACACGTGGCGGTCCATGAGGACAGCTCGCGAGCTCACACGGCCGTGCACCATGGGCGGGTGGCAGAAGGAGTGGAGGTGCAGCAGGCCCTCTGCTACCCCTTCGACTACTCTCACCCGCACCTCCCAGGGCAGCACTGGCACTGCCTCATCTGGAAGATAAAAGACAAAAAGGGGGAGGGTTGAGGGGGAGGGCGAGTGATGACGAGACGTGAGTAACAAGCAAGGAAAAGGGAATGTAGCTGAAGACGAGTGACCCATGCAGCCCAAGCCATGCATCACAGCCCATGGGGTGTCACCGTCAGCATGTGCCTAACTCATACGTTCAACCTCACCGCCACACGCACACTCACTGTTAGTGTGCAGTGGGCTCTGCAGCCACACTCACCGTCGGTGTGCAGGAGGTGTGAGAGCGAGGGGAAGGGGATGTAGTTGAACACGAGCACGCAGTAGTCCGGGCCGATGCTGCACCCCAGCATTGTCGTCAGGTCCGGATGGTGCACCTGCATTGATGGAGGGAGGTGGAGGGGAGGGGGGGCAGTGAAGGCAAGGAGCTGCTTATCCTGCACTGCACCGCAGCGTTGTTGCCAAAGAGAGTGACTTATAATCACTCTCAAGCCAGTCCCTATCCTATCGCACTCTCTCCCTCCTTCTCAACCCACTCACCTTAGCAAGAGCCTTGGCGCCAGCAACGGTCTGAACCCACGCCTCGCCACTCCCCATCTTCATCTCCCTATATCCCTCCCCTCTTTCCCCTCCCCCTCCCCCTCCCCTCACCTTAGCAAGAGCCTTGGCGCCAGCAACGGTCTGATTCACCCACGCCTCGCCACTCCCCATCTTCATCTCCCTATATCCCTCCCCTCTTTCCCCTCCCCCTCCCCCTCTCCTTACCTTAGCAAGAGCCTTCGCGCTAGCAACGGTCTGATTCACCCATGCCTCGCCACTCCCCGACTGCCGCACCACCATCACATCGCTCCCCGCGCCCAGCGTGCCCTGATACACCTCCCCCAGATAGCTCCTCCTCATTCCCCTCTTTCCCCACTCACCTTGGCAAGTGCCTTGGCCCCAGCAACGGTCTGGTTCACCCACGCCTCTCAAGCCACTCTTCATCTCCCTCTCTTCCCTCATCCTCCCTTCACCTTTTCCACTCCCCTCCCCTCACCTTAGCAAGAGCCTTGGCGCCAGCAACAGTCTGATTCACCCACGCCTCGCCACTCCCACTCTGGCGCACCACCATGACATCACTCCCCGCGCCAAGCGTGCCCTGATACACCTCCCCCAGGTAGCTCCTCCTCATCCACCTCTGCTTGCTGAACCCCTTGGTCGCCTCCACCAAGTCACAGTACGAGAACTGCGACTCGTACAGCGGTGCCACCTCTAACCGCGAGTCCTCCGCGTAATCGTCCTCGCCTATATCCACTATCGAGACAGGCTTTCCGGGGATAGAGCCAATGGAGGCAGAGATTGGCATAGCGCCAGAAGCAGCAGAGAGCGCTGAAATAGTCGAAGGAGGGGCGGAGGAGGGGGAGCGAGAGATCGACAAAGCGGAAGAGAGGAGAGACGGGGCCAAGTCGGCACGAATCTCGCTCAGAAACCGGAGCACGGAG